GCCTAACGTGCCCCCGCAACGTGACGCACGCGCCGCGCCGGGGTGGCTGCGCGGGCAGCGCGGCGGGAGGAGCGCGCGCCGAGGGCTGGGTGCGGGCGGAAGTCGGCGTCTGAGGAAAGGAGAAAGGAAAGGGAGACGCGGCTGGGTGCGGCGCGGCGCGGCGCGGCTGCGAGACCAGCAGGAGGGCGCCGCCCCCTCCCCCGCCCTCTCCGCTGAGGATGGAAGTGACGAAAGCAGCCGAGGAGGTCACTTCCTGCTGGGGTGGATGAGGAGGAGCCGGAGACGCCGCGGAGGAGACCGGACCGAAGACGGACCGTGCGGGGGAGAGGTGAGTCCCGGCCTCGCCGCCAGGTTCCTCTGGGCAGAACCCCCGGCTTCGGCGTGGACGGCGTCCCTGCGGTCGGGGCCGCCCGGCGAGCCACGTACCAACCCAGCCGGGCCTCCCCCAGTGCGGGGGGCGGGGGAGGGAGGGGGCCCCGCGGCTGAGGGGCGACGGGGATCCAGGCAGTGTTCGTGCGGTGGCTCCGCGGAGCTTCGAGGCCACGGGGCGAGGGAGGCCCGGCCGGGAGGCAGGTAGAAAGGAGGCTCCCGAGGCTGCGGAAGTCGGGACCGGGAGCTGCAGGGGGGATCCGCGGCACCAGACTCTGCAAGCCTCACTCTTTGGGGAATGGTCGCGGTCCGAGGGAGGCGAGGGGCCTGCCGGGCTTTGCAGAGTTGAGATGAGTGATCCTACTTGGACAGAGTGTCCTCGGAATGAATTTGCCTAAGGCATGGAGAGGCGCCTCCGGGCCCCTGGGAGGGAGGCCTTTATGGGTGAAATCGGGGAGTTGGGACGTCGGGAGAGAGCTTCCTGGGCAAGTCATTGTTGCAGCGGGGTTTGGATCGCAGAGTCGTGGTGGGTGAAGGCATTCCGGTGGCAGAATAAAGACCCCGCGATCCGACAGAGCAATCTAGTTGTTAGCGTCCCGGGCAGCTTCCTGGAGCCGTGGGGAAATTAGTGTTTTTTTCTCTCTCATTGTCACGGAGATAGAAGCAGCCGGGAGAGGAAACTCCTGCCTCAGCTCTGGGGCCTTGTTATTGTGTATCTTGTGTGTGTAACTCTGTGTCTGTGTTTATGTTTGTTTTTTCCTTCCTTTGGGGTATGTATCTCATCCTCATTCCCCGGTAGTTTCATAGCCCGAAAGTTGCTGGTCTTCTTAATGTGTATGGTGAGAAAAAAGATTCAAAGGATCTAGAGGAATCCTAGGTTAGATGAAATTTCAAGATTAGGAATTTGTACCCACCCCACCCTAGGGTCACTAAGGCACCTACATTGCCTCCAGACTCCTGCTAATGTTGGTACTGAGGGCCTGTCATTCACCCTGGGGAACTGCCTGGGTGAGGGTAGATCTGCCTTCTGCCCGCATATCCCTCTGGCAGTTTTACCCTTCCCTCCTTTTTGTTAAAGGATTGACTGATACAGGCTGCTTGCTGCTAGGAACAGGAAATTTATTAAGGAACTGTAAATCTGGGTGAAATGAATTCAAATCACAGCCAGACTCCCTCCACTTGTTGAACAGAAGGTTCCCAGAAATGCTTGCTTTTTTTTCTTCCTGTTAAAGGGAGAAAATGTAAAATTTTTTCTCAAAGAAAAATTGGGGGAGTGTGTGTGTGTTTTTGTATAGAGTAACTGTACATATGGTGTGTTTACTTAATGTATCCCAGGGTGTTGTTTCAAGGAGGAAGGGGCAGTTTCTGACTGGGAGAAGTTTTCCTTCTCCCATCTCACATAATTTAGGAAAGTAAATCAAAATCAGATGTTCATTCTTGAGTGACAATCAGATGGCTTTGGATTTTTTTTTTTTTTTTAACTCTTCTTTAAACTGCTACATCTGGGTGAACTCAGGCTTGTGTATCTTGGCATCTGGGCCTGTCTAGTAATAGAAGACAAACTGTTTGACTTGTTTTGGCTGCTTTTTTGGACTCATTTCACCATACCCTTTCTTTTTTACATTTGAAGGACTGGTCAGGAGGAAGAAAGCAAATATTAAAAACATTGTTTACAATTTGTGGCTTAAAGTCAGCTGGGAGATAATTATGGCCTTTGAAGCTGATGACTTGAGCACCATCATTTGATGGCTTGGGGATTAGCAGTTTGGAGGTGACATGTTTGGAAGAAAGAGGGTTACATAAGGAGGGAAAGACAGGGAAAAAGAAGTTTGGGGAAAGGCTGTACCAGAAAACATCGGGAGGATAATAAATAAATAGCACCTTAAAGTAATTGATGTGGCTTGTATCTCTCAGCAGGAGGGTGAAAATGAAAGCAGGCTGTAGCATCGTGGAAAAGCCAGAAGGAGGTGGAGGTGAGCAGAAGTTAATCATCTTCTGACATACCTGGAATGTCCCTCAGTGGTTCCTTTTCTCTCCACTTGGGCTTGGTTCACAAATGCCAGGCCATGGCTGACAGCCTCTTGACAGGGTAGATACTGCTAGGACAGTTGTAGGCTTGTTTCCTATGGATGAATGTTAACATGTCTGGTCACCGCACCCTTATCCCGAGCTTTAGAGTCTCTTTCCTGTTAGAGACACAATTCCAACCTTGAGGGTAAGGTTGTATTTTCCTAAAACATTATCTTTCCTTTTTGTTCCCTTTGGAACTTTCATGTCCTTACAGAAAGTAGGCATGAGATTTAGTAAGATCTGAAAGGGTAAGAGATTAGACACCTGGGTGCTGCTGCCCAGCTCTTATCAGATTTAATGATTGCCACAAGGAAAGGTAACTTCTCTCTGCTTTCCTCTCGGCTATTGTGGTTAGCCCCAGCTGACCGAAAGGGTGTTTGTGGCATGTTTGCACAGCACTCTAGAGATTCTGAGCATTGGAATGTGAGATTGGGGATACAGGTATGTATGTTCCTAGCTCCTGACTACCTTGATCTTGCCCTTTTCATGTTAAAGGGTATCAGTTTCCTGATTGGGCCTATAAAACAGAGTCGTCCCCGGGTTCCCGGCAGATCCAGCTATGGCACTTCATCCTGGAGCTCCTGCAGAAGGAGGAGTTCCGCCATGTCATCGCCTGGCAGCAGGGAGAGTACGGGGAGTTTGTCATCAAGGATCCAGACGAGGTGGCCCGCCTCTGGGGCCGCAGGAAGTGCAAACCACAGATGAATTATGACAAGCTGAGCCGGGCCCTGAGGTAAGGGAAAGGATTCCCAAATCCATTGTGTTAACATTGGAAGGAGACTTAAGTAGTTTGGTGAATGTTAGATTAAAAAGGTATCAGGTGATAAGAGACTACACTAGTGAATAGGTGTAGCTTTTTTTTTTTTTTTTTTTTAGGTGTAGCTTTAAAGTGGGAGTGGGAGCTATTGAATCTGGGTAGCACAGGCACAGGAGGAGAAAAGGCATATCTTTGGTTATATGTAGGAGGGAATTCCAACGTGGCTGGCACTGGATCCTGACAGCCAGTTCTGCTCTGTAGTGGGCGAGAATGTGTGGTGAAACCTGGATTGGAGCTCATTTATAATCCAAAAGATTAATTTACACTTCCATGTTAGAAATCTCTTAGAATTTCTCTTTTTTTAGGCTCTCCTGGAAGAAACTAGAAAAAGAGTGAAGCAAGCACACAAGAGAGCACTCACTGCATGGTAGTGCCCTATAGCTATTCAGGAACCAGTCAGTGAGCTCAGTGAGTTGTCAGTTCATAGGTTGCTCCAGCATGTCTAAAGATTGGTCACTATAAGTTTTCGCAGGTTTTCTTTTCCCCTTGTCAGTCTTTACATTTCATAACCCTTTAGCCCTCCAGGGGCCAGTTTATAACCTGTGCCACTGAATAGATTCAAGCCTCAAGGTTCTAGGTACATTGAAATCCCCTTGCCTTCCTTCACTGTTAGTGACCCTGAATGTAAAATCTGGGCAGCAGCATTGCTGGAGCCTCTCACTTCCTTTTGAAAGTGAAGTAGGCCAGGCTGACGGCTGTTTTCCAGATCAGGGTGTACCATTGTTTGACCTGCCACCATAAAACAGTTCTACATTCCTTTGTCTATGCCTTGAGCTTAGGCCTCCAGACTAACCACATCAGGTCTCACAAGAGATTTGTCTGCCCCCACCTGGGCAAGGCAGAAAGGAGAAACAAGGCAGTGACATACAGTGGAACAGGAAGGAAATGGACTAAAGAATTGAAACCATAGAGAGATAGAGAAGAAAGGTGTTTGGGGCTAGGATAGGTGTTCAGGATCTCAAAGTGAGATTGTCTTTGTAAAGGACTAGAATTTAGTTGAAAATTGAATGGGAAAAGTACGCTCTTAGGTCTCCCAGCTCTAACCTAAGAGCAAGGCTGCAAAAGAATGATAGTGATGATTGCAAGTAATACTCAGCAAGAATTGTTGATCTTAGTGGTTACCTAAGTATATCAAAAACTGTCAGTAGCTAGAAGATAAATTGACGTGCATTCCTGTTTTTACAGATACTATTACAACAAGAGGATCCTTCATAAAACAAAAGGGAAAAGGTTTACTTATAAATTTAACTTCAACAAGCTGGTGATGCCCAACTACCCATTCATCAACATACGGTCAAGTGGTAAGATGCAAACTCTCTTGGTGGGGAATAAATTTTGAGTTGAAAAAGAATTTTAAAAACCCAGGTCTAATAGGTGATCATGTAAGTCCCAGCATATAATGCTGTAATACCCTGCCTAGTTGGTTGCTTCTCTCAAAAGCTTTCTTCTGGACCCTCAGAAACTGAAATCTAGGACATAGGTACATTGTGAAGGGAAAACACACCCATGGTTTCTGTAATCTGCTCAGTGTGACTGGGAAAAGGAAAGGTGATCCCAGCAGGGGTGCAGGATTCCAGAAGGATATGTTGATTTAGGGAGTTGATGGGACTTTTAGAGACATGTGTTTATAGAGTCAAATATGAACCTAAATTTCTGGAGGAGGATTCAGTTTGAGACACACATGTTTGAGTTATCCTTGAATGGACAGTTGTAGAAATGATCAGAAATAGAGAGACCTTCAATGTAAAAAAAAAAAAAAAAAAAACCCAGATCTAGGATTTGTCATGTTTAAGGGGTATTTAGAAACACCAAAGTAATATGATCCCCTGGATTTCCTCTGCATTCTTGCTCAGGTTTTCCCATTCATCTCACAGGAAGTGATAGACTCTGCAGCATCAAGATAGATTTGGTTTATTTGGTTCCTTTTTCTGCATATTATTTGTCATCTTCTAGATATTGTTGCATTGTCCTCTTTAGGAATGGTGTTCCATAGGCTTGTGTTGATCTTTAAGTTCAGGACTCAGAGTTTTAACACCCTGCCCAGTGGCTCTTTTATAGACAAGAGCTAGCTTCTACAAACACTTCCGATTTTCTATGAAACAACCAAGCTCACCCTTATCAAGTGAATATCATCAAAACCACAGCATCCTTGATCACAGAAAGGAGGTTCATATGTTTGCAGTGAAAAGCAGTGTCTTTGATCTGCACCAACAACGCCTCAGAGAACAGGACTCTGGGGTTACTTGACCACCTCTCCTCTGAAGTGCTGCAAGCCTTCCCCTCTAGGCTCTCCACAGGACAGGTTTCCATTACAGCTTCTCACAGAGGTTTTGGGTCTGCCTCTCAGGGTTGCAGAAGGCAGTCTCTGATAAGGATGTTTGTTTGTTTTAAGATGCAAATCAGACCCCTGCCTAAGAAAATAGATTGTGTTTTAACTAGTTTCTGAGCAGTCCATTAATGCTCTGTCTTTGTGGCATTGTACAAGGCAAAGAAATCTGATTGTGATTCTGTAGTATTACAACTTCTCAGAGAAAAGTTGGAAGAAACCTGAAAAATTAGAGCAGGGGTGTGGCTGAGAGAATATAATGCTGAGATCCGTGGCAGATATGTAATTACTACACACAACAAGTTAGGGCAGTTTTAGCTTGATGCTGCTATCATTACAGTTCCATCTCTTCTGTAACCACTCCCTTCTGTCCCTGGGGCATGCATTTAAAAAAAAATAAAAGTGGTATTGGAATGCATCTCTCTAATTACAACCTGTTTTCTTTCCTTGTGCCTGAGGGAGAGGCATTAGGAAATCAAACCTGTTCTAGCCACTGGAATCTTGTTTCCTCTATTTTTCACCCTTACCCCCCTCCTGTGTACCTAGAGGAATTTTGACTCTAGCTGGGTATACCAGAGTGTGAGTCTTGTTCTTCTGTCTTTGACCCATTTTTTTTCTATTGAAAACCCACAAGTCCAGCCACTTGGACAGCCTGGAATGGGGCATCATCAGCCCTTGGGAGTAATATGCTTTTCCAGGGAAAGGAAATCTGGACCCTCACTATATGAAGACTCTGGTCTAGAAACCTAACAGTAGTGGCCTAGCACCACCTATTGTGCCTGAAGGTGGTTGAACCAACATTGATCCTTAACTAAGCTCAAGATCCTAATCAAAAAGTCATGGGGAAAGCAAAACTTTTAGGGATACTGCTTCGTTTTTACATCCTGGTTGCAGATAACCCCAAAGAACTAGAGTCATTAGTTTATAGAGGACTTTTACCCAGATAGACCAGATGTTTCAGGTTAACTTTTATGATGACAAAGGAATGTAACATTTATTGAACATCTACTTATTGGAGGTTCTTTTGCCTATGTTTTTGTGAATTAACTCATGCAACTCTCCTAGCCAAATAAAGTATACATCTCAGTACCCTCATTTTACAAATGATAAAATTAAGGATGACAGGGCTTCCCTGGTGGCGCAGTGGTTGAGAGTCCGCCTGCCGATGCAGGGGACGCGGGTTCGTGCCCCCATCCAGGAAGATCCCACATGCCGCGGAGCGGCTGGGCCTGTGAGCCATGGCCGCTGAGCCTGCTCATCCGGAGCCTGTGCTCTGCACCGGGAGAGGCCACAACAGTGAGAGGCCTGCGTGCCAAAAAAAAAAAAAAATTAAGGATGACAGCAAAGTCAAAGATTGATCAGAGTGGCTTGAATACAGTTATCTGTTGGACACTTTCTCAGGAAACAATTCTTGAGAGATTGAGCTATTGAAATAGATCATACATTCCTTCTCTGGTTTGGGATTCATTCATTTGTTAAACAGATAATGTGTTAAGCCCTAAAGACAAAGAAAAAGATTATGGGGGAGTTCTTTCCCTCAAGGAACTTAAAATTTAGCAGGAGAGATAAGATATATGAGGTTTAACACAATTCAGAATACAGCGTGGAATGTGATAAATGTTTTAAGAAGTAGAGCTATGTGGATTAAGATCCTGGAGGCTAGAGAGATATTGTCTAGATAGTGGGTTGATACAGTTGGGCTATTTTGAATTGTATGTTTTTAAAAATAGAAGCAATACATTTAAATTTTTTTATTATTATTTTAATATTTAATGTTTAAATGTATTTTTAATATTTACATTAAAATGTATTTTTTAAATGTACTTACATAAGAAACCTTGGAAAGATACAGAAGATACTAGTAAAAATGCTACCTGTCGGGCTTCCCTGGTGGAGCAGTGGTTGAGAGTCCGCCTGCCGATGCAGGGGACGCGGGTTTGTGCCCTGGTCCGGGAGGATCCCACATGCCGCAGAGTGGCTGGGCCCGTGAGCCATGGCCGCTGAGCCTGTGCATCCAGAGCCTGTGCTCCACAACGGGAGAGGCCACAACAATGAGAGGCCCACGTACCGCAAAAAGAAAAGAGCTACCTGTCAGGTTGTGGGGGGAGAGCAGACCAGTTCAAGGATGGACTTGAGACCTCACTTCACCCCACCCCAGTTTTTTTATCTTTATTTTAGGAAACTTTAAAGCTACAGAAGAATTCAGGAAAAATTGAACATCGAACACCCATATATCCTCTATCTAGATTCACTAATCAATAGATAAACATTTGCTTTATATTTCGATATACTTTTTTTTTTTTTTTTTTTGCTGTACGCGGGCCTCTCACTGTTGTGGCCTTTCCCGTTGCGGAGCACAGGCTCCGGACGCGCAGGTCCGCGACCATGGCTCACGGGCCCAGCCACCCAGCAGCATGTGGGATCTTCCCGGACCGGGGCACGAACCCATGTCCCCTGCATCGGCAGGAGGACTCTCAACCACTGTGCCACCAGGGAAGCCCCCGATATACTTTTTAAATCTTCTGAGATTAAGTTGCAGATGTGACACTTCATCCCTGTGTACTTCAGTATGTATCTCCCAAGTACAAGGACATTCTCCTTCTACTCACAATAGCATTACCATACCCAGGAAGTTTTAACATGCTCTAATACTATTATCTAATATATGGTCCATATTTAAATGATATATGCCTTTTAAAATTTTGCTTTTTTAATCATGATTATTGTCAAATAATTATTTATTTTAACAAACACATGCAGTTTGCTATGCGCTGGTACCAGTTTAAGGACTTTACAAATATTAACTCTTGTAGTTTTCATAGCATGAGGATTAGTCCTGTTATTATCCATTTTACAGGTAATGAAACTGAGGCACGGAAAAGTAAGTAAGTTACCTAGAGTAACACAGCTATTAAGTGGTAGGGCCGGGGTTTGAACTTAGACAAGGGCCTTATTCCATTTTGCTAGAGGGTTTCAAAAACCAGTTGGTTACTTGTACCAGGCTACAAGGTAGAAGGTGCTGGAACTAAGTTTCAAACCCACGTTTTCCAGCCCTACTACTCTGATTTCATAGTGGCTCCACGAAGGTTGTCTTCTTCAAAGCAGTGTTATTCATACGTCTTTAAGCAGCAAACTTAGTTTTCAGACAAAATCTTAGATTTGTTATCTCAACATACTGATACAACATATAAAAATAGGGCTGCTGCAGTTACTCAGAGGTGAGGGATCCAGAATGCCACCTCCAAATCGCCTTCCTTCACTCCTTCTAAATGCATTTGGAAAATGCTATGTATTCTGTCTCCTTTTTGCAGATTTACAGTGTACCTTAGCCTGTGTAGGGACTGAGATACCCTCCAGTTTAGAAAAAACAAAGCGAAAAACTAAATTGTTTAGGAGACAAGACCTTCTCTACCACCTCCCTTCCCTCTCCCCCACATTATACTTACTCAGTCCTTCAGAACACATAGAAGTGTTTTTTTGCTTTTGAATAGATGTGCTCTTAATACAAAATAAAGATCCAGGAGAATCAAAAAAGAATAGAATTTTAGCCATTGTAATAAGCTAGAAGTAGAAGTGATACTTTGGAGACCCTCTTGACTCTAATTATATTCAAGGTCATCCATCTGTTTTTCCTAATTGTGCAATTAAATCAGTGGTTTTAGAAAAAAGACCTGCAGACCAGTTTTCTGTGGAACATCATTTTGAAATGCTGCTCTGGCACAGTGTTACTCAGGCACATGTGCCAAGAAAGCTACAATCTTGCACATACCTACCGACTCCAGAGTCCTATCTGAGGATGACTCAATTATAACAAGAATAGAAGACTGCAAGCAATCCTACCCACATCGTATCTCGTGCACCTTTTTTGTTTCTTCTCCTGGATCACCACACTTCACTTATTTGGGTTTTTCTTACTTTTTCTTCTCCTTTATCCTTCCCTCAGAGTAAAAATAGCCCTCCTGACATCATCAGTGATAGAAGCCACAGATGCCTCCCAGGCGCCCAAAGGGTCCCTGAGGCCTCATACCTCTCTTATGCTCTGATTGTCAGAAGGACCTTTTGGAGTTGAGAACTTGTGAGGCTCTGAAGTTGACATGTGTAGCACAGTGTTGGTTTCTGCCTAGAGCTTCTGTTTTTAGTCTGTGAATTTGGGAGAAGTGGTAGGTACTCGACTTTTCTCGCAGCGTCCTCAGTGCTTGAAAGCAGGATGGTAGTGGAGATCATTATACAGAATATGTATAATAGAAAATAGATTGGAGAGATTTAAAAATTTTTGAATCTCTACAAAGTAGTGATTGTGTATCAGAAATGATAAAAGGTACACCATGAGAACCTACCTTAACAAACATAGCCTCTTTTTGTGATCTGTTTTTGTTCTTAAAATGTGGTCTTGTTCGTGTTCATATATGTGAGGTGCAGGGTGTTCAGGCTTTTAATGCATTGTTTACATACATATCGTTCCCAGTTTCGTTAATTGGTTTTGGTTTGTTTGCTTACTTTATAGATATGGCCAAAATTATGAAAATAAGAAACGATGATTTGCAAAGCTGAGAGTTAAAGCAGGTGATATATATACAGTATTTAGAGTTGCAGAGGACAAGGCTGTATTACCCATTCATTCATTCAACTGGTAGTTATTAAGCACCTACTAATTATTAAGCCCTGAACTGCTGGAAATCTACTTGCAAATAATAGGAAGTTCCTGCCTTCATGGGATTTATGTTTTAGAATACAGATAGACAAGTAAATGATATTTTAGATAGTAATGAGTACTGTGAAGACAGTGAGTAAGACTCTAGAGAAAGGTGGCAACTAAATTGAGTATAGGAAGCTGAGAAGACAGGCAGCTGAGGGATTCAGTCCAGCTGGAATGTTTATTTTCTGTTGCTCTTCAACATCTTATACTTGTTTAGCATAAGTAAAATTGCTGATAATGAATGACCAGACCTCCAAAGTGGCCTTTTGTCTTTTCCTCCCTCACAGGTGTGGTTCCCCAGAGTGCGCCACCAGTGCCAACAGCCTCTTCCCGCTTCCATTTCCCACCTCTGGACACCCATTCTCCAACTAGTGATGTGCAGCCAGGGCGGTTCTCTGCTAGCTCCCTAACTGCTTCTGGCCAGGAGTCAAGCACTGGCACTGATAGAAAGGTGGAGCTTTCGGAGCTGGAGGATGGCTCAGCCGCTGACTGGCGCCGGGGTGTGGATCTCATGTCCTCCCGAAATGCTGTCGGCGGAGGGATTGGCCATCAGAAGCGCAAACCTGACATCATGCTTCCCCTGTTCTCTAGGCCAGGGATGTACCCTGACCCCCATAGTCCCTTCGCCATCTCTCCCATCCCCGGCCGTGGAGGCATCCTGAATGTCCCCATTTCACCAGCCCTCTCCCTGACTCCCACCATCTTCTCCTATAGCCCGTCGCCAGGCCTGAGCCCCTTCACCAGCAGCAGTTGCTTCTCCTTCAACCCTGAGGAAATGAAACACTACCTTCATTCTCAAGCCTGTTCTGTGTTCAACTACCATCTGAGTCCGCGGACATTTCCTCGTTACCCAGGGCTCATGGTTCCACCGCTGCAGTGCCAGATGCATCCTGAAGAGTCAACCCAGTTTTCCATCAAGCTGCAGCCCCCACCTGTCGGGCGGAAGAACCGGGAGAGGGTGGAGAGCAGCGAGGAGGCAGCGCCTGTCACTGTTCCCACGCTGGCTCCTGTCCCCCCGAGAATTAAGGTGGAACCAGCCTCTGAGAAGGATCCTGAGAGTCTCAGGCAGTCGGCACGAGAAAAGGAGGAGCGCTCTCAAGAAGAGGGCAGTGTGCCAAGCAGGACCACAGAAGAGGAAAAAGGCACCATCTTTGCCCGCCCGGCCGCACCGCCTGTCTGGCCCTCTGTACCCGTTAGCACCCCAAGTGAAGAACCCCTAGAAGTGACTGAAGACAGTGAGGACAGGCCTGGCAAAGAGCCCGGTGCACCTGAGAAGAAAGAAGATGCCCTGATGCCCCCCAAGCTTCGGTTGAAGCGGCGCTGGAATGATGACCCTGAAGCCCGGGAGCTGAGTAAGAATGGCAAGTTCCTCTGGAATGGGTCAGGACCCCGGGGCTTGGCAACGGCTGCTGCTGACGCTTAGAACTGGAAGTTGATTGGGAGCTGTTTATACTATAATCAAACACATACATGTATTTATGTAGCAAGATTTCAGGGTGGGGGGTGGGGAGGGAATTAGGCTGGTTTGATCCTTCTAGGGGCATAGACTTGTATTTTTATGTTTGGGGGATAGGCTGGGGGTATCTTCTGTTGTAAATTAGATGGGATGTGAACACACTTTTTTTCCTGGTGAGTAGGACATGGGAAGGGTATTGAACTGAAAGAAGAAAGAGCCTCTGTTTCCTGTTGAGGCTTACACTTTCTGACAAACTCCCAGAGGGCCAAGATACTGTTTGGTCCCATGATAGTTCAGGTTCCAGACTTGTTTCTTTTCTATTGTATTTATATATGGAAAGCCATTAATGAATTTATTTTGCTCTGAGACATACACATAAAAGGGAAAGGGGCGTGGTTGGGAGGTTGAGCAGTGAGAGACCATTAATACTAAGTATTTTGCCTGAAATGTTTCTTTATAATTATTTCAGGGGAGGAATAAGATAATCTCAGTCTTATGGGGGCAGGAGGATGTTCAGGTGTTGCTCTTTTTCTTTTTCCCTTTGTTGTTGTTTGGCTTCTTTTTTTTTTTTTTCCTTTTTATAAAATGTTTTCAGGAAACGTGAAATGTACTGCCAGTTAGAGCGGGGCTGGCAAGGCACAGGCGCTGAGCCTTCAGCTACGTTGCTGAGACAGGAAGCCCTGCTGTGAATTTCTTGGACATTTCACCTACTTCACCTATTAAGAAGCCATGAGGAGTTATAAACTCTTGTTCAGGGAAGAAAGAAGAGGGCAGGAGGAAGTAACCCAATGCCTTTAAAAACACAAAAATGCTCTTTTTTTTTTTTTTCCATCGTGGGTTTGGGGAGCCAAACCAACGTGTGACTGAGCGAGTTGACTGAGAGACGTGACAGAGTTCAAGATGTCTTTCTGCAGTGTCTGGTTCTCTTATCGTTTTCTTAAGTCAAAGCCTTAACAATGAACATACTTCAACATGATACGGGTCTGTCAACGTAAACCTGTGAAAGGGCATAGACATCTTTTCAGATAATCCAGGAGTGTTGGAAGATGGTTAAATTTTAAGCTGGTATATAATCATCCCCACTTGATGTATTGGGATAGGTAGCAAAAAGGCAGGATTGTGGGAGTTAAGGGCAGATGTTACCTGGAAACACAGAAGGTAGCTGGGGGTACAAGTGGATGTTTAGGAAGCTGAAAGAAGCGATAGACAGGAGACACAGAAGGGAGACAGATGCCAAGAGGCCTGGTGTAAGTGAAGCAGTGGGTGTCTGTCCTGTTGTGGTGTTGCCGTTCTTGCCATACCCATTCCCCTAGATTGTACTAATTCTCATGATCAATTGACTATCCTACGTGAGACCCCAGGAATTGTTTCTTCATGGGAAATTCCCTTCCAGCAACTTCAAAGGAATGGGAAAGTATTGATCTTACATGAATCGAAAGGAGCCTGGATTAGGGGCAGAGAGAAAGAAGCCACAGCCAACTGTGTGTGTGTGTGTGTGTGTGTGTGTGTGTGTGTGTGTGTGTGTGTGTGTGTGTGTGTGTGTGCGCGCGCGCGCGCACATGTAAGTACACAGTAGTATACAGAAATACTGAACATGGCTCAGATCCACGAGCAGCAGAGAGAAGAAATAACTGCGTCTCTGATAGGGGCAAGGAGTGGGCATGGGGATGTTGTCTAGAAATTGGAGAGATTCCTGGCTCCATCTCAGCCTAGGTGAACTCAGTGTACTAAGAAGCACTTGAGGGTTGTCTTTTCATGGTGAGGGTCGGGTGGGGGTGGTCTATTTTAAACTGGAGTGCGTGCATGAGAGAGGGGCCCAGGAGAGGTTCAAGCCGGTGAGTGAGTTGTTAGGTGGCTTAAGAGGACTTGAGTCCATCATGCTCTTTTTCGGCAGTTGTCCTCCCCCTTGTTTGATTCAAATTCCGTGAGTGACTTGTCTTTCCCTGGGAAAAGGATTAGGAGAATGGTCCCTAACAACTCAGGCTTTGGTCAGGCTGCCTTTGGTTGGTTGTGTTTTTGTCGGTTTCTTTCTCTGTACCTCGACTTACCTCGAATCAGAAAGCAAGCCCAGGCAGGTGGAAGAGGCATCTCTGCTTGGCATTGTCCAATCTAACCAGGGAGGCTGGCTGCCCACCGTCTCTGTCCACTAGAGGGGAGGGCCGGCAGGTGTCAGTATGAACTCAGGAATAGAAACATGAGGCCTTTAAAATAAGAGGGAGAAAAATCCGTGATGCAAACCTGTAACCCCCTAGAACCCAAGTGCCAGAATTAATTCCTAGATGCTGCTTCTGTTTGAATAAAAAGTCACAGCTTTTACACTTGAAAAAAACACACTCAAAAAATGTTCAACTCCATGAAAACTGTTTTTGGCTTTAAGAAATTGTTTGGTGTTTAACTGTTTCCTTTGATTGCCATTCCACCAGTAAATTGTTGGTTGATTTGCACTGCACACTGGGGTTGGGGGGAGGGTCCTACACAGAGCCAGACTTGGGCTTGCCCGGGAAGTGGACCAGGGGATGTGGAGGTCACTGATATTTCCTGGAGCAAAGGGGTGGGAGATAGTTCTTCCCCGAGCCCACTCTGGGCAGCACCTGTCACCAGCCTGGCACAAAGCCAGGCCTTTCTCTTCTGCGAGCATCTCATCACTGAACAGCAGGTGGAAAGGAGGGGACAACACCAGACGTATTTTGCCTCCCCATTTTTTCCACCTTTTGCTGTGCCAAATGTTTAACATTTTGCAAATACAGATCTTGAACATGTATTAAGAACCTGTTCAAACTGTTTGCTTTTTTGACTCTAGAGAAGAAAATAGTAGAGATCTCTTCAGGGCATCCAGCCTTGCTGAGCTTTTTTTTTTTTTTTTTTTAAGAACGGCTAGGAGTGAAATATAAACAATTCACTAAGTCCCTTCAACCCCCAGTTTTCAAGCTGCACTGCATTAAACCCAGCTCGCTAACTAACGCAGGGAATTACTGCACCCTAGTCCTCAGTGGGCCAAGAAACTTCCAGAAGCATTAAAAAAAAATAAATAGTTGAAGTATACCACTTCTCACCAAGCGGGTAGAGTCAGTTGGCTGTTTGTCCCTTGTTTTTTATTTATAATTATGTTTGTGTTTTTTGTTTTGTAGACAGTAATGGAACATACTTTTAAATTTCATTCAAAAGAAAAAAAAAACTTTGATCCAATCTTTCAAGAACTGTTCCATTTCTTTGTTTCTTCTTGGGGGATAAAAAGTTACCAGTTAATTTGTTTTGAAATATTTAGGCATTCTTTGAGTTATAAAATTGCGATGCAGGGATTTTGGGGAATTCACACGTGAAAGATGACTTCACTAGTTATCCGCTTAAGCAGAATAAAGTGTGTATATGTACATAAAATGTAAGTAATCTTAACTCCATTGTGCAGTGCCTTTTAGATGTTCCGCTTTCTATAAAGTTCAAATTTTTGCATATATATATTATATATATATGATGTAATGTTATAGAAATATATGTATAATATACATATTTTTTCCAGGGGTATCTGATAGCTCTGTATTTTGTTATGGAAGTTGAAAGAAAAAAAAGTATTTTACCTCAGAAATTAAAGTTAAATAAAATTTTAAAAAAATACTTTTAAGTAATGTTTACGGAGCGTTGGTTTTGTTGTTGATACACTAAGCCAGGGTGGTCATGCCAGAGAATGTGCCGCGTGCATGCTAGCTCACCCACCTCCACACTTTTTATTCCTGTTGTACAGGGGCCAACACAGTGAGGGTAGGTCCCTTAATAGCTTTGGAGGTTGTCAATTTCCTTGAGTCAATAGGTGCTGCTAGATAAAGGACAATTGAAGCCAGGGACACGAGTTAGTGGGGAAATTTCTACCTCAAGATTGATTTGAGGATTCATTAAGAGTACATGGCAAAGCCCGACCCAGTAGGCCACACTTTGTATGAATCTATATGAAATGTTCAGAATAGGCAAATCCACAGACAACATAGATTGGTGGGTGCTGTGGAGAGTGACTGCTAATGGGTCACATTCTTTTTGGGGTGATGAAAATGTTCTGGAGTTAGTGGTGATAGTGGTACAACAATTTGAATAGGAAGGCCACTGAATTAAAATCACTCTAAAAGGGTGACTTTTCAGCCATGTGAAGAATAATCCCAATAAAGGTGATTTGGGGATTATTGATTTTGTTTTGTTTTTAAGTACATGACAAGCCAGTGCTAGGGAAACCTTAGTATTTCCCAGTAGAGGACAGGAATCCAGAGGAGTAGGAGATCTTAATGGGGTATTGAGTATCATACAACACACCCTAAGAAAAATGGTGCCAGACTATTCTCATTTTACTCTTGAGATAAGGCAAAGTGATCTTCTAAAGATATCAACATTGGTAGAATCACAGCCAGGTGTTAAATTTGACTTCTATGGAAGGGTCCTGTGAGTTCAGAAAGGCTGAAATTGATGAGGGGTGAGGCTAAACAGGCAAACTAGGATGGATTATGAAGGGTCTTAGGAGACACCTAGAGTTTACATTTTACTCTGCTAGCAGTGGCCATCCCCAATATTATGCAGAAGAGTTTGGGCTAGACCAGAGAGGAGCATGAAGGCCAGCTTGTCAAATTAACATTTCTGCTTAAGAAGACTATTAACTCATTTTGGCAGGAAAAGGTGAAATGACAGGCTAACTGGTTGACTCCCTGAAGCAACCCAAATCAAGCTGGGAATGAATGGGCTTGGGTGCAGACCCTCCTGCTAGGAGAGCCTCCTGATTCTTTTCCTTCCTCAGGCTGCTCAAAGCAAAGTGAGACTTGTTAGGAATGAAACCGGTTATAGTTTTGAGCTCGGGATTCCAGGCCACCAGTTCTGCCACCCAATGTTGACCATTCAGTGCATACAATTGGATGGCAATTATTCAAATTCTGAGCAAAGAGGAGTGAGTGGTGGTGAGCAGGGAGAAAGAAGTGAGGAAAGAGATGGAGCTTCAAGGTGAGAACACTTGGGGGGCGGGGGAGGAAGGATGAGGGGAAAGTAAGTCTCAGAGCCTGTGAAATGAGCGAGTAGGGAATAACCCCTTCAAAGCCTCCCCATTATCTCCCTGTTCACAGTCCTTAGTTTAGTTTAGAAGGCCCTTCATAATCTGGCTCCCGTTTACCCTTCCAG